CAATAAAACATTAACTACTTTTAGAACTAACAGAATAACAGAATTGGAAGGGACGTTGGAGGTCTTCTAGCCCAACCCCCTGCTGAAGCAGAAAACCCTATACCATTTCAGACAAATGTTTCTCCAATCTCTTCTTAAAAACCTCCAGTGTTGGAGCACCCACAACTTTTGGAGGCAAGTTGTTATCTGTACCTTTAAAAGTAGTTAATGTTTTATTGAGGAAAGAGGCGATGTTTGTTGATCTTAGAAATGCAGAGATATGTACTGGTGGAGAACTAATCAAATTTGGGCAGTTTATTCTTAGGAAAGATTCTGGAGAGAATGAGAGTATGTTCAATCCATATAATATTGGAAATTATTGATTATTGGAGAAACACCTTCCCTAACTTTTAGCTTGGAGCAGGATAGCTTTGTTAGTGATAACTTGGCCTGTCCTGATGGGCAATTTGCAGCAGCCTTTGATGTTGATTATTGCAATGTTGATCTTACTGGATTGGGACTAATAACACTGTGCATAAGAACACTACTAGCATTCATTGGGGTCGTTTCTGGTCAGAAAAATTTAGTACAGATAACTTAGTATTAGTTCAAGATTTGGGAGATGGCATCGGGGGTAGGCTGCTACGGGTTCGCCTGGGTTCAGGAGAACCCGTAGTTAACGTTATGGCCGGTTCAGAGAACCTACAAATCCCACCCCTGGCTGGCCCACCCACCCACCCAGCAACCAGGCAGAGAACCCGTTGCTGAAATTTTTGAAGCCCACCCCTGGATGGCATATTTTGCCTCTGGACTATTTAACCTCTAGAATGCTGTTGCTAAAGAACACTGAAGACAATTAATATATAGATGGTTCACAATTCTTGTTTTTGCCAAAGATCACAAATGTTTGGAGACAGTTTTAGAGAAGATGAAGATTAATTAATTGAAAATTAATCCAAATAAGACAAATTGATTAACTATTTGGTGGTGTACCATCAACTTTGAATAGAGTTCCACTTCCTCAGAAGACCCAAATTTGTAACTTGGGGATAAGCCTGGACTTGTTGCTGTTGGGAAAGCTACAGTAACAAGACTACCTTTTCTCAGTCTAGGACAGCTGTGAGTCAATCTACGGATGAAAGGTTTTACTTTAGTTGCTGTGCCTTGGAAACATTCAGGCTAGAGAATTATAATACATTCCATATGGATTTAATTTTTAAAAATGTTTGGAAGTTTCTCGCTTTGCAAATTGTAGCTATCCAGATGCTTGCGGTAGCTTAGCATTCCTAACATGTCAATCCAATATTATATTAAATGAGCTGTGTGCCTTCTACAACCGAGCCCAGTTCAAAGTGCTCGTTTTGATCATTAAAGCCTAAAGTTGGATTATTTGATGGATTACTTCTGTTTACATATAGGGAGCTGTCAAAGCCCTATGCCAGTGATGGCGAACCTTTTCGTCACCAAGTGCCGAAAAGGGAGTGCATACACGCATGCTCATCTGGGCAGCGACCAGGAAGAGGAGCTGCCCAGGGGGCATTCACGCACCAGAAAAGGTACTTCCAGTTACTGCCACGCATGTGCACGCACCAATCAGCTGGCTGGCACGCATGCTAGCACCAGAAAACAGAAGACCAGGTCTTCTGGTTTCCGACACTGCCGCATGCATAAAGGCCAGCTGATCGTCGCATATGCATGCGCACCAGAAACCCGGGAGAGGAATGGGCAATGCCACACATGCCAGGCGACAGGGCTCCGCGTGCCACTTCAGGCATGCATGCCATAGGTTCACCATTACGGCCCTATGCTCAATTGGAGTGTGGCAAGTACAATTTTATGGTTGGCTATGGCCTGCTCAGTGGTGGCTCATTTATAGACATCAGTTCTACGCATACATGTTTTGTTCACATATATTTCTATTTTCTTTTAAATAGACCTGAAGACCCTTCCCCTCCTTTCTTTTTATGCATTAAAAGACTATTAAGAATTGGGATGTTCCTTCATTTTGGAATTATTTTTTAATGGATTTGGGACTACAGCACTGGCTTTTTTCTATTTTGTAGTTATTTTAGCTGTACAAACAGCCCAGAAACTTTTAAAATGGATTAGTTATGCCTTCCTCCTAAGAGGCCAGTAAAGTACGTTAGCCAGCTGGGGAATTCTGGGAGTTAACATGCACCTATTTTAAAGTTGCTAAGGTTGAAAAACACTGGCCTATGTGATAGAGCAATAAAATTGGGTATATGTTTGGGGTTTGTGGCATGGAGCAGTTTGGAGTAGTCCAAATAACACCGTATTTTTCGGAGTATAAGATGCTCCGAAGTATAAGACGCACCTAGCTTTTGGGGAAGAAAAGGGGAAAAATCTGCTTCTGCCTCCCAGCAATTTGCCTCCTTGCAACAAACAGCAAACAGTACAGATAATATACACTGTTTGTAGTGTTACATTTCAGACTATACTTGTAGAAATGCTGTTAAAATTGATGTGCTTATCTAGTATAGTTGTTTCACTTTCAGTTTAAGCATGTCTCCTGATCATCACCTATTTCAGGCTGCAGGGATTGCTATAGCTTATTGCAGCCTCCGCAAGCCCCATTTTCCCCGTTTGCTGCAAGGAGATAAATTACTAGGAGGCAGAGGCCAAAGGGTGAGGGGAGCCGGGTGGGTGGGGCTACATTCAGTGTATAAGACACACCAAAATTTTCACCCTCTTTTGAGGGGCAAAAAGGTGTGTCTTATACTCCAAAAAATATGGTAATGTATTTCTAGTTAAATAAACTGAATTCCTGTGTAACATGCTTTACTGCTGGAAATAGCATTGAAACATTTATAATGCTGGCAAAACACAGAAAAAAAGAGTTTAGATGAAGTCTAGGTGTTCTAATCTTAATGGTAGCCCTATTATTTTCTTCTCTTAGAATATAATGGTAGCCCTATTATTTTCTTCCTCTGTTTCTGCTATAAGTAGGTCAGGGTTAATGTTTGGTGTCCGAATTCTGTCTTCAGGGATCTTTTTATTTCTATTTTCACAGTGCCATGGAAAGCCACTCTCTCCTCAACCCCAACCTGCAACAAGGGGAAGGTGTTCTGTCCAGCTTCCGAACAACCTGGCAAGAATTCGTAGAGGACCTGGGCTTTTGGCGAGTGCTGCTTTTGCTTGTTGTCATTGCTTTGCTGTCTCTTGGAATTGCGTACTATGTTAGTGGAGTGCTCCCTTTTGTGGAGAACCAGCCTGAGTTGCTGCATTAAAGGCAGTGTAAATTAATAGTGTCCTACTATTATTTGTAAAGTCTCACTTTGTTCTCTATGGGGCATATATTGGTAGCTGCATGTAAGGTTTAGACACACAATGCCGCCGCACCCCCCCACCCACCCCCTGTTATGAAGAACCGCTTACAAAAATAAGGATGCACTAGTCTTAGCTACATTACTGAGTTAAAGTACTCATCAACTGCATCTAACATTTCTTGGATTATCATTAGTTGTAGGCTCTGCTGATAAAATATGACAATATAAAGAAGTGATTGAAAGCTTTTCCTTGATACGCAGATGTTTATGATCAGGAAATCAATTTGTTAGACTGTCTCTAAAAATTGTTATAAAATCAGGTCTTACACTGTGGGTCTTTAAAAGTGGCCATTTTCTATAATTACAAGGAGTTTCCTGCAGAAAAATAAACTAATTTATATTTTTTGGTAAAGAAAGCATATATCATACTTTTCAAGAAGCAGCACTTGAAGATTTTTACACTACCATAATTTCCACTTGAAATATTAAGAGTTTTTCATCTCTTTGAAACAAAACCAACATTTAGTTAAACCAAATAAATTGGGAAATATCAATACTTACTGTTTTAATAACTAAATAAAACATTTTTTTTTACTTTTAGGAATTTTTCCTAAAAAAAATTGGGGAGAATTCTTTCCTTTAAGAAGTAAGCAAAAATGATCTTAATGACTTGAAAAATTTAAATAGAGGTATTGTGTAAACTTGTGGCATGATCGTGAAAAGGTTTATTTTGCCCTGTTTATAAACTTATAAGCTAATTTTAATTGAATTGCAATGAATTCATTGTCCTAATCTCTTAACATATGTATTGTTGTATATGTAAAATGAGACCTGACTTAAAACTCTACTTTGAAGTAAATTAATAATATACCTAAATATAGGATCTCGTTAATAACCTCGCTAAGATTATCTAACTAAGATTGATAGTTCAGGCACTTAGTGGTGCAGGAAGTAATGTCTGGTTTTTTGCTGAACCGAAAATTCTGAAAATGGATCCAGATGTGCTGGAGCATACACTGTCTCATCGAGTTCTATTTATATCCAGGCAAGAGAGAAAATGATTGCTGACCTCTCTTCTTATATATCCAAATAAGTAATTAATAAACCATATTTAAAATTTAGAAATTGAAACAAGTGATCGATTTGCTTATCTTACACTAAGTTCTTCACCCTCATTCTAATGAAATATAATTTTGTGGTAAGGTGTAGTCTTCTATGTAAAATGCTTTGTAATATATTTTGTAGTTCACTTAACATTGGAGGAAACATTGGAAATAGATATCCCAGTTTTAGAATCTTTTTTAATGTTAACAAAACATCCTAAACACAATCAAGCCAAAGTTCTAACTTTTTAAGGACATGTGGATTTTCAATTTAACATTTCTTTTTTTGAAGTTTGTAGGATTTTGTTTAAAATGATAAACAGCAAATTCAATACTACAGACAGGAACAAATGAACTACTCAAAAGTGAATGCAGCAGAAATAAGATATAAACTATTAGAAGAATTATAGCCTTGGGATGTCTTTTTGTAAAAAGTAAACTTTCATGTTATGTTATTTCTTTTCTATTTTACACTGCATAATTATTAATTTAATTATTAATTGTATTCTAAGCATGCCAAGGTATTCCAAATAAACTTGTATAAACTACATGTATGTTTCTATTTATGATACAGTTTTAAATCAAGAAAACTCAAGAAAGCAAATAATAAAATCTAGTTCTTCATGGTCACTTTTTGTACAGATCCATTACAGATTTCTCATCTCTCAACATCAAATTACAGTAATTATGATTGCTTGTTAAGATTCATTTTAAGAAAACATATAATTAAATATTAATATAGCCAGTTTCATTCAGAAGGAATGCATAGCAATTTCCAAATAATATTAATTTAACTTATTTGATCCATATTATAAGCAAAACAAGACATAAAACAAAGATACCAGCAAATTCTAGGATTGCAGTTGATTTTTCCAATGAACCTGTTTTGGGAATTTACAATGTATTTGAAAGAATTGGCTATAAAAAGATTATTCTTTTTGTATTTTGTTTACATTTTAGAGAGTTAGGCAGTCTTTAAGCATAAGGCAAATATTAGCCAAGAGTAGGAAGTAAATGTACAGATGCATCTACTGTCTGCTAAGGAACTTGGTGAAATAGTTACTGAGCTGGTAACTGTGTGGCTGGTGAAATTTTCTGTTGCATCAGTTTTAGAGATGATTGCTTTCATTAGGCAGCAAGACAAGTACAAACGTTTAGAGCAGGATTTCTTAAGTTGACCTCACTACATACCACAAATCAGTTGGAGGACAAAGCAAGGGGAAGTCAAAAAATCAAATATTTATATTATCTTTAAGGATGTTTGTCACTTCTTTTTTGTTTTTCTTTCTAAATATTTATAATTTATAAACAGTAACACAGAGATTTTGTCATAAAGTTCAAAAAAATCATCTATTTTTAGTATTACAAAAACAATTTGATGTACTTTGTTTTGTACATTGAGCATCAGTTCTACCATCATAATTCCCTCTATAGTGTTTATAGTGTTTGTCTTTTTTGAAAATATATTTCTGCTTTAAGTAAAAAAAAAGTTTCTCAATTAGGTAATGAAATCAAAAGGCTAAAGCTGAGCCCTGATAGCAAGAGTATTCATGAGTAATCTGGACATGTTAAATTATCCCCTTTATGGAAAGAATGAGGGGAAAAGAAGGTGAGAGAATGACTCAAGGAAACATGAATTTAAAGCAATTTCTGCATTCTAAAACAAATAGCACACTAAACAATTTTAACAGCTAACTGAAAAGAAAGGTTATTACCTAAACTATCATATAGCATAGTAAAAGGATATAATTTCAAAGATTGAAAATGTCTTTATTATCTGCTTTTCCAGAGTGAATTATGCCCTTAATCCACATCACATTTTCAAAATACTGTCCCAGCAGGAGGACGTTTCATAATAAACTAAACAAGAAAAAGACAAAATATCAGTATTACCTGATTTGTTATCTGACCCGCGTAATTCTTAGAAGGGAAAAGCTAATGACAAACAGTGACCATAATTCTGTTTGAAACTAAGATGGGACTTTCAGAAGAAGGCTCTCCCATAGGTTATAATTTCCAAAGAGCTTCTTCATTTCTCGTGCAAAAATTCAAGTCCAGCTACATGCAAACCAATGTCACTATAATTGCAAGTCACCTGTTTTACAATCAGTGTAGTTGCCGGTAAATTTCCAGATACAATTCAAATGCTAGTTTTGACTTGCGAAGCGTTATATGGTTTGATGCTAAAGCACTTACAAGATCACCTCTGCATAAAGGTGATCTGTCCAATTAATCCAGGGTGAATCTCTCACTGTCACCTTTTAATGAACTTGCAGGTGGAGACACTTGCTAACAATCTTGGTTGTGAACTCCATATTATGGGACATTCTCCCTCTTGAGATTAGATTGGCACCTTCATTGCTGGCCGCCTGGGAGCACATGTTTTAGTTTTAGTTTTATTATTATTTATAGGCCGCCCTTTTCCCTGAGGGGACTCAGGGCGGCTTACAAAATATAGGGAAGGGGGTACAAAACAGTAAACATGAAACAATACATGAGTAAAAATAGTACTCAACATTCATTCATCATTCGGGTGGGGACAGATTACGATCTTTATCCCCAGGCCTGACGGGATAGCCAGGACTTGAGGGCCGTGCGGAAGGTCTGGACGGTGGTGAGGGTACGAATCTCCACGGGGAGATCGTTCCAAAGGGTCGGAGCTACTACTGAAAAGGCCCTCCTCCGTGTGGTTGCCAGTCGACACTGACTGGCAGATGGAACTCGGGAGGAGGCCTAATCTATGCGATCTAATAGGTCGCAGGGAGGTAATTGGCAGGAGGCGGTCTCTCAAGTACGTAGATCCACTACCATGAAGGGCTTAAGGGCACATAAAATTGACTTGCTTTAGTTCCATTGGAGAGTAAATTGTAACCATCACACTTAGTGTTTTATGGTTAGTTTTTTATTAGCTTTTATATTTCTACATTGAAACTTGCCAGGAGGTGTTTCTTGTTGAATCTGGCAATATATGAACACAAAGAATCAAAATATATAAAGAGAGTACAGGCATCAGTTACATTAATTGTCACATGAATGACGCCACAAATCAAGTTGCTTGTTTAGTTTCTGCTTGGTGTTTAAGCAATTGAATTCTTGTTTTTAAACTATCATTTAATCCTATGTCAATCCTATGTCAAAACTAGCTTACCACAATATGTAACCCCAGTTTTGCATTAACAGTCTTAGTGCACTTCTAGTTCTGTTTTACTGCTATATGAAATCTCAACTAGAAGAAACTAGCTGCCAGGAATGCTAAAATTTAACTGCTACTGTATATCGCATCTTCATAGCTATGTTTTAATCACTCCAATTAAGGTATCAAATGAGTATTTGTTACTATGGTAACCAAGGAATTAAATAGCCCAGTGATATATTAGGCTTTCATTTTTCCATTGAAGTAACAAACAGACCTATTAGTTTCAGCTGTAATTAAAGGGTGACTTTGCTTCATCCTTCACAGTTTTTATTATGCTGCTTCTTTTTCCTTGGATATTGTTGCCTGGCCTTTTGGCTTTGCAACCCCATTTTTGGATTCCTGAGTGTCCAAGCATCTACATTTAATTCTTTGTTTATTGCACAACAATTTCCAAGAAAATTAGGATATAGCTACTTGCTGTGGGAAGTGACTTAAATTAAATAAACAAGAGCTATTTGAGTCAGAAAAAGAATTGTTTCAACATCAATGGGTATTAAAGGACAAATTTCCAAAGGAAAGAAAAATGCACACTATTTTTTAAAATTTTACTTGAAAGTGAACTATAATACAATATTTCCTAGTTAGCCTTACACAAAATGTGAGCACATCACATCTTAATCCTTCCTGCTCTGATTTATGAACTTCCTGATACCTCTTCCTGTATTCCAAACATCTATATGTCATATGAAATTATAGTGATGAGTGTCTTACTTCCAGAGTTATCATAACATTCATTCATGTTTCTAGCATCCATTCACTAAATGAGTGTTTTTCAGTCTCAGCAATTTTAAGATGTGTAGGCTATTGGCTGGGGAATAATGAGAGTTGAAGTCCACACATCTTAAAGTCACTGAGGCTGAAAAACACTGCCCTAAATCATAAGACCATGTTCCAAAAATTTCCAGGAACGTATTGACAACTTTTCAGTTGCTTGAATTAAGAAAAGGTGAATCATGCAATTTTAAGCAATATTTTTTTTTGGGGGGGGGGGAGATACTGTAGATGTAATTCATTCAAATAAATCATTTAAAAAGCTGGAGTTAATTCCTGAGGATTTTGTTCATGTAATTTTCTTTATAACAGTAGGGAAATATTTTCCCCTGCCTTTTATCAGGATTTTTAAACATCCCAGTGTAGCCTCACCAATGGAATTTCGTGGTTTTTGTTCAAGTACCAGCCAGATTAGTACTTAAGCTACCTACCTACAACCAGTTACTGTATGTACAATATATTCATTGAGAAAGATTTACTTGGAATTCAATCTCATTAAGTTCACTGAGACTTTATTCTGATAGAGCTAGAAAAACGTAGTTTAGATTATTTTAGTAATAATGTTTAGGTTATATCAATAAATTCACACCATCTTGCTAACTCACTGGGTTCATTCATTATATTTGTTTACATTACAGTGTTTAATGAAAAAATAAAACCAGATTTCAAAACTATTAAGTCAATAGAATAGTGGCTGAATTTTACATGAGATTCTAAACCAAAATCAAGCCAATTATGGCTTACCATGTATGGACCAGACTATTGTATCTGGATTTAATTTAGTAAATTGTGAAATAAAACTAATTGTTATTTATTCAACAACCTATTGTTAACCTATGTTAATATGGCATATGGAATATATACAAATTACAAATGAAATGAGTTGAACATGATATTAGCCATTCAAAACATTGCCAATGTTACATGGATGCACAGATACATGCAAACATACAAACACACATTTGCTATCACATAAAAAAGCACCATTACTTCATGGAAGGTTATTTTTTTAAAAAAAATATTTTTAACCATTTAGTTCAACTAACACGTCTAAATTTTCTTTTGGAATCAGTTAAATAAATTAGTATAATAAAATGCAGCTGAACTCTCAGCTGTAAGAACATAAAACATATTGTTGAATATGCATGTTTGTTCAGGAGCAACTTTGTATCCAAAGCGGTTTATTCTATAAATATATAATTGATTACAGTGTAATCTTAACATTGTTTGAAGGCTAGTACTTTTAATATGTTCTAACTTAAAAATTAAATAGAATTGAGTAGTTCTAATTCATATTGTCAGAAAATATATGCTAGATATATGCTATATTATAGACCATTATAAAATCTTGAATGTAACCATTCCAATCATGAGATTCTTCACTTATGGAAGAAGACTTTATATAGAGATGTGCACAGAATCGGTAAATCAGAAACTTGAAACAAAACATTGCATTCTGGAAGATCTGTTTTCACATCTTAGGATGGCTTAGCAGAAACAAAACTAAATATTTGCCTGTACTATATGTAATTGTGGTGCATAAAAACCCCAAACAGTTTTAGATATTTTGACTACCAGAGATAATAGGGTTCAGAACAAGCCTCTTTGGGCACAAAGATCTGAATGACCATTAGATAGCAGCCATAAGCTATATAAAACTCTA